TTTATGTATAATGTGTGCATAAAACACAAGAAGTAATTTACATGCAAACACTGCCTCTTCAGTCTGCATGAGTGGTGAGAATAACGTTTCGTGGTATTTCAGGGATTTTCAGAAAGCTGAGAGATATTTTAGTTTTAAATGCTTGGTTGTTTTTTTATTTCTTATTTGGATGAAATGATATTTGTTATATTKATACTGAATATCTGTATCATACTCATGAAATATGACGCTTTAAATACAAAGTATATTGTCTAACACTGCTTTGTTTTAATATTGAAAACTTGATTTTTGAAGCAGCTGCAGAAATGATCCATACAGCAAAATCTATCATCATTTGTCATCCACATGTCTATAATTTGTCACCTGCTCTATCAAAGTAATGGAATGCAGACATTATGCCAGGCCTTAGCAGAATAATGTGTCAGTGTTAAAGCAGTGAGCGATGCCAGTACAACCCACTGACTTGAGTCTCATARGACATCTGTTTGTTTGATCACTTTTTGGCACTTGCTTTCATTTATTTTTCACTCACATCTCCAATCATCTCACTCTATCTTCCTGTCTGCAGCACCTATTTTCATCTTTTGTCTTTTTAATTCGGCTGTGCAGCTAATGTGGATTTAATACAGACTTGAACAAATTTGCTAACAGGATGACATATAACTTACATTATTGACACCAATTTCTCTTTGCACTGAACACCCTCATATCCTCATATTGCTTTCAGGGTTAGTATCAGTATACACAGTGTGAAAACTATTCTGCCTTATAGAAAGATTGCTTTTAGACCTGTACATTTTTTTTGCAAATGGCATCTCAGTAAAAAAAAAAAAAAAAAAAAAAAAAAAAGAATTTGGTTTTCCATCTGGTTTGAAATGCTCATTTACCTTTTCTATTTCTTAAAGGGATCCACGATTAGTTGTAACATTAGACTTTATTTGATAAACGTATATTTAAACTGTAAAAAAAAGACGTAAAATACTGTAGGCTGTTCAGTTTTTATAATTTTTAAACTAAAAGTTTAAAAGTATATTACACGAATGGGGCTATTTTATTTACATGTAATGCATTCTGGGTAAATGATGACGAGGATAGGTCATCGGTGCGAGGCTGCTAGTGAGCTATATCCGCACTGAAGGTTAATCTTGGACAATATTTGATGATTGACTCTTTTAAATGAAACCAGAGAGCGTTGACAGAGAGGAGAAGGTAGAAATGACTCCGCCTGTAACTGAAAATATGGATGGAGGACCTCAGTTTAGCTTGTTAGTTTGTTGCGCTAGCGTTGAGCTAACACATATAAGGCATTATAGTGTTGGCGCTAGCGTGAAGGCTAACAGGCTAAGCTGAGGTTCTTTTTCCATGAAGCAGCTTTGTTGTCCTCTATCCACAATTTTAGTTGTAGACTGAATTGTTTCTACCTTCTCCTCTCTGTCAACGCTCTCTGGTTTCATTTTAAAGAGTCAATCGTCGGATATCATCCAAGATTAACCTTCAGGGTGGATATAGCTCGCTGACACTGATGACCTATCCACGTCATCATTTACCCACAATGCTTTGTGTGTAAATAAAATGGCTCCATCCGTGTCAAAATATATTTTTTAAAATTTTCAAAAACTAAACAGCCTACAGTATTTTTACAGTCTTTATTTTACAGTTAAAATATATATTTATCAAATAAAGTCTAATGTTACAACTAATCAGGGATCCTTTTAATGCCTATAAAGGTTAAATAAACCTGAATGAGTTTAACTATCTAGAAAAATGATTGTTGCCTACAAAGTTACAAGTAAATGCATATTACCCTAAATTGGTTAAGTGTGAGTCCCCTACAGCAGTGGTTACCGCATCCTGGCCCTCAAGTACCCCTATCTAGCATGTTTTACTTGTTTTCCTGCTCTTCAGCAGGTCTTCAGAAGATTGTTAATCACTCCTACATTCAAACCAGGTGTGTCAAATCAGGGAAACATCTAAACATGCAGGGAATGAGTCCTTGAGGACTAGGGTTGATTATCACTGCTTTAACACGTTATCTGATTTATTATTTACAAATAAATGGCAAAAAATCAATGGCTTCCAGAGGCAATATTAAAAGACATAAAACTGAGTCAATATTATATTTTGAAAATGTCTCATCAAGCTCAGAGAAGCTCTTGAGGTGTTGGTCAACATTTAAATCTGTGATTTTTAGATGTTTCCCTGATTTGACACACCTGGTTTGAATGAAAGAATGATTAACAATCTTCGCAAGACCTGCAGGGAAATAAGTAAAACATGCTGGATAGGGGTACTTGAGGACCCAGGATTGGGAACCACTGCCCTACAGCTAATGTGTATGAGTCCCCTACAGCTAATATAAAATATAATCACATATTAATTTTTTTTTCAGGAAAGATTATCTGAAGTCTTAAACATGAGTAAAATTAAATTTAACTGGTGGTTTCAAATCATGTATGTCATCGACTGGGAATATTTTCTTTCAGTGTGTAACCATGTTTCCAACAAGTACGTGTTTGTTAAAGAATTCAGTTCAAATCAGTTTACGTATTTATATAGCACCAGTCCATATTGATAACAACTCGTTTTGGGATTTCTGGGATTTAAAAAAAGATGAGGAATTTCATTAATAACAAAGGACGGAGCATTTTTGTTCCCTCCCGTTGTTCAAAATTAAAGCTAAAATGATTTTATTTAATTATTTTTTCAAGCTGCCATGTTATATTTTTATAATTAACATCTGTGCACAAGGAACGTGGCACTATCCTCACTAAGCAAGTTCAGCTTGCTTATTGCAACTTGCTAACAGGCTGTCATATTGTCAATCACAGTGTAACGTGACACATCTCTTTAAGCCTCAATTAAGAAATTAAAACTAAATATGTGGAAGAAATGTACATTTGAACATACAACTAAAAGATAAGAACTACAGGAATAAAAAAGTATATTTTTGAAGAAAAAATGTTAAAGTGTAATTTCAACTTTCAGTCAGGAAAGTGTCATTCAAGAGTGAGTAGCTTGTTTAGTAGGTAGATATTGTATTCTGTGGCTTCAACATCCAGCTTCAGTTCTGTCTTTGGTTATAATACATCTCAGTGTGTAACTATAAAACATAAAGATATTTTTGTTAAATTAGGGTTGTCATAAAAGCTTGTCCAAGTTTGAAGTTTTAGCTTGAACCACAGATAAATAAGTCATCTCAGAGGAGAGGAAAGAGGCATGGTGAAAAGGAAAGCAGCTTTGGGACTGTCTAGATGAGCAGGTAAAGAAGTAACACCTTAGGGAGCTGGAGTAGTGGCAGGTATGGCAGGCAAACCAGGGGATTCTCTGGAGGTTTGGTGCACCGCTGGGATGGATACAGGCTGTAGGATCTGAGTAGCAAAAGGACTGCACACTCATGACCAGACAGACTATGAGCAGACTCCAAACATGTTTACTGAATCCGTTACAGTAACTCGGTGTATAATTGTAGATTCATGGACATGTACTTACAGAACATCTGTTAACTCATGCTCAAGTTGTGTAATCCCATAACATGAGAGCAGAATTTGATCACATGGAATGTGTACAGATTGGTAAGTCATCTGCAGATGCTAAGACATTAGTGACATCAGCTGACTGCTAATCTCGAAGTGGCAGAAGTTCCTTGTGGACAGGAACAGGTGGGACTTATTCTGAACCTTGAACTTGTGACACAAGCCTAGGTCTTGATGTGTCTCAATGAAATGTGTGCTGTGTCCATCCCAAAAAAAATTACGTATATATATATATATATATATATATAGAAAACCTAACGTTTGAAAGAAAAAATAAGAACGTGTGACTCAAAAGTTCTATAACAGACATACAACATCTGAAAGGAACATCCTTGAAAAAAATGAAGGAAAAAAACCTGACACAGGACTGGAGAGATTAATCTCGCCCTTGAGTTGAGCCATGTCAAGTTTTTAGCTAGTACCTGTTCAGGAAAAATGTTTTTTGTTAAAAAAAGTTTTATATCAGTCTGTGTTTTAGTTGGCCTTTTTGTTTCTAAACAAATGCTGTGCTCCTGGTTGTTCTAAGGGCTGTAACAAACAGGAGACTAATTCCTCTGGAAAGGGTCATGTACAAATACTTGGCTGGAAACAAGATAGAAAAAAAATAGCCAATGTTCAGAGTAAACCTTTGAAAGACCTTCTGAAAGCTGTGATCAATATTACTCATGACCATTGTAAAATAAAATAAAAAAAATCTGGCTCCTTGACAGCAAAARATAAGGGAATAAGTGGTGGCTTAAGAGTTTTGCACAGCACTGTATTTATGTGTATTAATAAATAATGGGTAGTTTCTTTTCTGCAGCCAAAGCTTAACCTTATTTTTTATCTTTACCATATGCCCTTGGCACATGGGGCACTGGCATTMCTTCAAATTTATGAAGCTGCACAGTTATGTGAGTGTTGTGCACTTGAACTTTGGTGAGGGTGTGTATTGTCTGCGTGTGGGAGTTTTAGAGGAAAATTGTCCAGCCAAAGCGAAGTTAAAGTGCAGCATTTGAAGGAAAGGGCAGCTCATAGCCATTGCTCTCCTTATTCTGCTCCATGTCTGTAAAGCTGCCAGTGGAAAGCCATTAATTATCTTATAGAGGGACTTGCTAACTGGCTGGCCATCACAAGCTTTCACTTTTTATGAGTTTTCCTCCATCTTGGATGGTACTCAAAGTGCAACATTCAGCTCAAGAAAGCCTCTTTTGCGTTTCTCTTAGTCAGCTATGATTAATGAAAACAGCTTTTTAACTCAATCTGACCTCGCTTGTACTGAATTTGAAGAGGACCATGTATGTGGATTTAGAGTTTTACCATAAATGCTTCTCATTCTCCTTACCATAAACCTTGTTTTAATTTGGGTAATTAATTGTAATTGAGGTTAATCAATTTCTCCATATGTCATACCCACTGCAACTTTCAACCCATTCTGTTCCCCAACCCACAAGCAGTTTCGGGAGAAAATGTCAGAATGATTAGTGACAACGTCGTAAAATGCTCCCAAAGGAAATGGTGCAGGGTGCCTCTCAGGGCTTGTAAGCTACGTTTTAAAAACAATCACGTAGAGGTAAGAGAAGAGTTGGCTGGTTCTTGGTCGAGGCAAAATTGCTGTGTTTTGAAGGAAAAAAAGCCAGTGCTTTTCTGATTACACCTCTTTCTGCAAATCTATCGACGGAAACCTAAAAGATTATCTTCTAGAGCAGTGGTTCCCAAACCTTTTTTCATCTGACCCACAAAATATCCATGGCAAAAACTTGTGACCCCAAATATTACTGGTCTGAGTACACAAACTTTGRTAATAACCCTAAAAACACAGGCTTWTTGACAATCTAAACAGCTTGTACACAAATATAAATATTAATTTTTTACTTATTTTGTGTTTTTGTAATAATTATAGGGAAAATATTACATCAGCAATTATTTTATTACCCGTTAAATTGATTTCTGGAGATTATCCAAGGTGCTTCATGACCCATAATTGGGTCCCAAGCCCAACTTTGGGAACCAAAGTGCACTGGTTCCCAAACTTTTCAGCTTTTGACCCACAAAATAAGAGTAGCAGAGACCTGTTCCCCCAACTGTTTCTGGATGATAAACATTTGTATCAGGTCAACTAAACATGGCCATAGTAACAATATTTTTATACTACATTTATCCATTTTAAATACACTAACCTCACTCCTTTGTAATAACTAAGGCAAAAATGTAATTGATTCAGAAAATCTTGTCAGGACCCCACCTTGATGTTTCGGGACCCCACTTTGGGTCCCGACCCCAACTTTGGGAAACACTGTTCTAGAGAGACCTTTCTAGTTCTTTGGCCAGTTCTACCTTTAASTTTCTGAGTGGAAAATTCTGTAAAACGTTTAGTAAGTTTCTTTACCAATGAATCTTTGGCTGTTTGTTTATTTGAAGGGGATTTGAATTCTAACCCCCCCCCCCCCAACCACCACCACACTATATTTAGTTTTCCAGACCAAATGGTTGAAGCAGAGGAGTTTCATTTTATTTTCCTTTTAACAGTTAGCAAAGTGTAAAGTGAAGGAGCCATCTGCAACAAGTGTTGAGTGGAGGCGAGTCATAGCTCTGCTGGGAGAGTGGTGGCTCTCATTTATTAGTATTTAATGTATTTTGYTGAGATGTGGACAGGGTTTATGAATGTGTGTTTGTTTTGTATGCAGGAGAGTGCCAAAGCTGCCCTGAAGATGAAAGACTGCCAAATGACGGATCGCACAACACAGACAGAACACACGGGGTCAGAGGTAAGATGCCCTCAGACAACACAGTCGCCCTGTCAGACTGAAACGCACAATCGCACTTCATTCTTAAATACCTGACTCAGTATATACAGTACACCACAAAAATATGTATAAAATTTAAGCAGTTTTCATTAAAAAAAGTCTTCCATTTGTTTCTTTGAAGGGTAATTGAATTCTGACCCATTTCTCCCACTATATTTCCAAGAGTACCTTCAGTTTCACTTTGTTTAAAAAAGTTGTTCTACATTTTATAGTCCACTATCAGCTCCTCCCTTTCTTCCTTCAAAGACCTAGAGCGCTCACGAGTGCTGTTTCCTTCCTGCCTGCCTAATGCCCTCGGATGACATGGCCTCTTTGGTTTTTCGAAAGGCTGACAGTATTGGAACGTASCAGACTTAATGGATGACTGTCTAAAAATGGCTGCCTGTAACGGAAACAGGAGCAGTGTTTTGGGGTTTGTCTCTTTTTCTCCCTTTTTTTATTTCTTTTAAAACACCTTTTTCATTTCCTTCTCTGCTCTAAAGCTTCCTTTATACTTTTAATCCGGTTGTGTATAAAGTTGGCAAGAAACACAGATAAGAAATAAAAGATTGTGTGAAGGAGTACCCACACAACGCTMTGACTTACCCACACAGATGCACAAACACACAAAAGATGAAGTTTGAGTTAGCTGATACAATGTCAAGACCAAAACGAATGCTCTACATGGATGTACCAGAATCAGTTAGCAGCAATGTTTTTCAACCTCCACATGTTCTATAAAACTACAGTGAAGAAAAAAGAACAACTGGAAATTATTTAAACACTTATATCTTTCTACAGTCTCATTGAGTGAGGAATATAGATCTACAGTTAAGAAATCAGTTTTCATGAATTAAGGCAAAAGGCAGTCAAGTTCTCCMTGTGGTCAAGTCAAAATGAGGCATATTTGATTAAATGTGCAGAGAAATGTTCTGTAGTAGAAGTACATATAGTCACTTGATTTAACTCTGAAAACTTTTTTTTTTTTACATTTTTTATATAATTGACATAAATAATAAAAACAGAGCCAAACTGTGTGGCTCCACATTTGTTCAGATTGTTTATTATCAAGTGTTACAGTTTTCCATAWGTCTCTGATTTTGAGACTAACAAGCTCTAATCTATATTTTTAAATCCCATTTAATTCAAAATATAAACCCATTGTGCACAACTTTCTCTTGCTTGATGCAAAAACTTCTTTGATTAATTCAAGTTCTGTGAAAGATGTCAATTTTCTGCAGCAACTTTTTATTTTATAACGCCATTTGGTTCTCGCACAAGCCAGTTTTCAAATAATTAAAAAAACTTCAGAAACAATGCTCGGCTATTTAATTATCAAAACCCTGTCATCATTTTTGTAAAATAAAATTATCTTTTCCTTTTGTATTTTTTTTCTTGGAAAAATGCCACACTGAAAGGATGGATTATAAACAAATGGTTTAAAATGCATTTAATGATCTTTTTCATTAGAATTCTAACAGTTTCATTACAAATAATTGAAAAGACATTGAAGCAAAAAGCTAGTCATGATAGTTATTTGATAAGCCTGAATGCTGTGCTGAATATTGACATATTTATGACTAATTTATCATGTGAAGTTTTTATTTTAATTTTTCAAAACCCCAGTGATGACTAAATAAGATTCGATAAAGACATCAAATCACAGAGCAGCACAGAGGAAACTGTGTATATATCTGTGCTATTACACACTACAAAATATTTTTTCAAACAAATTAACAGGTGAAATGGTAAACATTGGAGGAAAGCAAACAAAAAATAAAATCAGACAATTTTAACATACATAATATTTAGAAACCTAGACTTTTCGGTTTAAAGTACATGTATTGCACATGGTTTCCTAATGCATAATATGTGGGCTCTGGACGGCAAGCTAGAGAGTGAATCTTGACTCCAAAATTGCAGTGCAGTGCATGATTGCTTGCGATACTCCCCCTGCTTCTTCTGTGATTCACAATATGCCACCAAAGCAGGTGCAAACAAGGGAGCTTCTTACTGTACATAAAAAAATCACTCTTTGTTCGGGCATAAGAGGGGTATTGTGGTAACCTAATGGTAAGTACATTGGTATTGTAATCCTAAAACTGCAGGTACAGGGTTGAGTCAGGAAGGGCATCGGGCGTAAAAATTGTATTATCTTATGCAAGTTCGCTGGCTGTAGCAACCCCAGCAGAAGGGAGCAGCTGAAAGAAAAATAACATTTATACAAAAGAATAAAAGTTACAGCTCTGCACCCTATAATAGTATCACACCTGTTATTATTTGTCCTACCTGTATGCCTCAATATTTTATTTCTTCACCCCTTTTTTGCATTTGTACTCACCATAATGTGCACACCTTCTCTCTGGATTAGTTTCTGTGTGCCAGCAATAACTAATGRATTTCTTATGTAGCCTGAAAGAAACACAGGACATTGTAGTAAGCCTATTGGTACTTTGAGGCTAAAATTAGCAATGGTGTGGTCGTCTGTGTGGACTAATTAGTGTGAAAATTTATATGCATGTCCATGTGTTTGTCACTGTCTGGKTCTTTTTGTGAGGCAGCCATTAGTCTTGGCTTCGGACAGTAAAATCAATAAAATGTGGTTGTGTCAAACCAACTTCTGTTAAATGAGTTACATTTATGCCACAAACAGTATAACTCCCTTATTAAGTTTTATACATTTTATGTGTTTCTTTGTGTTAGTTATATGCAGCAGTTTACATATTTGTATGGTCATGCTGTTAACTCATCATAAATTAAGGGTATCTGCTTTGCCTGCCTGCATGTTTCTTTCTCTTCTTGGAATGAGAACCCAGAAAAAGAATTAGTTGTCTTTTTCGACCCTGAGTTCATTATTTATTTATTTATTTATTTTTTGACATTCTGATTAATTAGAATAATGCCATTAAAACTAATTTCGGACAATTACCTTGATTTGCCTCACCGGGACCACTACAAAGTAAATAATATGCTCTGCCTTTATTCTACCAATTGAGTTCATATTAAAAAAAATCAAACTCAAAAGATTCAATCAATTAGATCCCCTCTCTGTGGTGAAGTGGTTTGATTAAGTGCCAAGTGTCTCATTTGCTCTGCAGGTGGAAAACCGTAATGCGAGCGTACCAGATATACGTTATAGGTCTGTTAAAAGTAGTTATTCTAGTAGTCATAAATCTTCTGAATTTGCTCATCATTGTGTTGAAGATATGTCGGATGGATTGGTATAGGCAGAGGACCACATTAACCTGTTCGTTTTAATTCAATACATTCAGGTTTAAGAAGTCTTGCCTATATTTATGTGTATGGCTTTACTGRGTATTATAAGACCATCACTGAGCTACAGAGCCCTCCATATGTGGGACCCTCTAAAAGACGGGCTCTTAATTAGAGGAGCAGCTGGCTGCCCGCTAGCAGGCTATCAGCGCAGGTGACTTAACTCAGCAGTAGCTTCCAGCATGTGCGGCCTGATTTTAGCCTCCACCCTGTGTGTGTACATGTGTGCGTGAAAGGAGAGAGATAAAGACTCAGTGTGTGTTTGTGAGTTTGTGGAAAGACATTGGGGCATGGAGCAATCCTATATAGGTTAGCTACCCCAGTGCTYCATCAAGGACAGCCATTTACCAACAAAAAGTGTGTCTACAAGTGGGGCAGCTATTTCTACCACTTCCACCACTTCTCAGGGTCAAACAGCTCCCCTCATTCTTTCTCCATCCAACACAGTCTCCTTTTTCTCTGAAATGRCCTCTTACTTTTGCTCACTTTCCTCACCTGCTTTTGTTTGATAATCCTAACGAGTGCAAAGTTAGCCTCTCTCCTCCTCTCTTCTTCCTCTCCTCTCTTCTTCCAGGTTTTCATGGCTTTAGGAATTTATCAGGAATTCTTCTTCCCTGATTTTCCCAAATTGGACTCTGTGTCCTTGGCACAGCTTCTGCCAAACTCTGCCACACACAGTTTTAACCTTAGGCCAACTTTTGACAAAGTTACATTTTTGTTTATTTATAGTTTACAGGACTGCTTTATGACTGGCAAAGTTTTTTGGAATCTCAGAAGAGTAAGAGGTTCTTAAACTGATGGAATGTGCTGCTCTTTCTCAACTAAAAACCCAGGTTGTTCTTTCAAATAAACGTTTTCTTACATTTTCAGCCCAATTAAATAGAAACSTTTTAGTTCATTGTGAAGGCTTTCTACAGTTGACTGTTAAAAGCCATCACAAACAATTTGCCTTTCTGCATGTTTTTTTGTCACTTCAGTAGAAAACGAAACCAAATATTAGTTTATTTAGTTTATTTATTTCTTCATCATCCGTGACTTTTTTTAAGTGAAGAGAAAATAGAGACAGAGAGGAAAGTAATTAGAAAGATTGAAATAGCGATTAGAAGGATATTAAATATACACCAACAAAACACAGGACCACACACCCAACATCTGTCCGCTCACCTGAAAAATAAATGGATAAATACATGGAGGGCATATATAAAAATATACACATACCCATACATATATAAAAATATACACATACCCATACATATATAAAAATATACACATACCCATACATATATAAAGATATACATACATACATGCCTACATTCATAAATATTGTCAGTATATACACACAGACATAAATACACACTCAGTGACCGTCACAAACAATTTGCCTTTCTGCATGTTTGTATGTTCCTGTACTCTCCATTAGTCCTGAAATATTAATYTGATTGATTTACATGGATTATCTGAAAACGTGGATTAGAAAAAAGAACAATACAATTTGGTGTACCAGCTGTCAGTGCTTTCTTTAAGCTGAATATTTAAAACATTATTGCCTTTCTTGATAAGCAGTTGGCTCACAGAAAATGTTTATAAAAGCAATAGTGTAGCAGTGTAACAAGATCAAATATTTTATCTTGAAAAGTTAATAAATATAGTATATGATAAATGCATTGTTACAATGGAAGATAATTTTGTAATGTAACCTATGATGTAAC